GCCCTGGCACAATTTCAACACCTCCCGTCGGTGCTGGTATTTCCACTTCAACATGGGGTTCGGCTGTCGGATCTCAATTTTACGGACGAGCTGTGGGAAACAGACCCCTTGAACCCTCGGCTTTCAGGTGAGCAGACGAAGAATCTACGCAAGCCGACTTACACTGACTTCATTCTCCCCCGCATTCCGTCCACCGTTACACAGCTCCCATCTTCTGCACCTTCCATCCCGAACCATACCGACTCCGTCACCGGTTCTAATGGTCAGACGTCTAGTGAAGTCCTAATGGGCCGTCATCCTCTTCGTCTGCACCTCCCGAGGCTCATGAATCCGGTGATTCCAGTCAGAGCAATCCAACCACGTCATCATCCACTTCTTCGGCGTTAGACGAACCTGGCTTGAAGTTGCGGATCATAGCTGGCACTTCCATCATGCCCTTGTCACATTTTGGGAGAGCTTCAAGCAGTTCAAACCCTACTACTTGGGTGCGCCCGAGGCTGCCATGCTCCAGATACCGGTCAAGAAGACCACTCACGTTCCCTGTTGCGCTATGGCATAATGGACATCAACCAATCAACTGCTGACGGTCAAGCACTGATCATCGAGAATCTGTTCACACAAGCAAATATTAGAGACCGACGGACAAAGTGGAGGACATTGGCGATTGCGTTGTTTTCATGCACAGTGACCTTGGCACAGGAGAGCGATTCGAGTCCATCATGATCAGGCAGTCGCGCTCTATTGCTCCGCCGTCTACAAGCAATCGTCTTCGTCCTCGGCCTGATTCACCTCTATATGGCTCTCGCTGAGGCAATCTACAGACTACCGGATGTACATCATCCAAAGCACCTCCACTCAGATGTTCACAGCCTCTACGAGCACGCATGTCGATTGCTTCCTCACGCCGAAACTGGGAAGATTGGTGCTAAACCTGGTTTCCGCCTCTTTCACGACATTATCCACCAATGCGGGTGCGCTAGGCTGCTAGACCGTAGACGTCTGGGAGACCCATGTGTGAAAGCTCAACGTTCGCCACGCAAGGCTTATGCGTCCAATGCAATCTCGGTAAAATGGGGACTTTCGGCGCAAAAATAATACTCTGCGACCCAAATAGATGTACACCTTCAAGTGCTACCATTTCACAGCCATATAACGAAACTGTCCGTTACAGGGCGTTGTAAGGATTGCTCTTGGGTCAGGATTCGAACCCATGACTAAGAGCAGGCGCCCGACGTCGGTATACCCATCCCTAATTATCGGTTCCACCTTTTCGAGGTATCAGAGGTCCCTTGAGCCCTGATTGGCTGAAAAGCTCTGATCATGACGGCGAACGCTGCCGAGCAAGCTGGCCACTTTGTGTTGCAATATGAACGCGACTCAAGTTTCAATAGGACTTCTACAACGATGGAAGCTAGGCTTCCCCGTGCGTATGCTTGATACAAATATACAAATAGATGAAGGCAATAGGACAACACAGATATGTGATGCAAATGCGAATACGCTAAGGGGTAGAGGTCCTTTCACCAAGTCTTCCCTCGCCACTCTCGAACTTCGTCTCTTCATTTTTGGCGTTTGCGATCTCCATGACATTAAACTTCTGCAGCTTATAGTAGTCTTTGACGACACTGATACCGCAAAGACTCTGTCAAAGAAGGCTTGAGAACAGCAAGCGATGATCCAACAATGGATTGCCTCACCTTGAAAATTTCGACGAGAATAAACAGCTCTGGGCTTTCCAGATCGACCGTATGCTTTTCGGGAACACACTTCGCGAGCTCTTCGATAAGAGGCATTCGCTGTACTGTGTTGTGGTTCCGTATCCGCAGCTCGACTTTGTACTGAGAGATCAAGTCTCAGGTGAGCAACTACAAGCGTCACAAGGCTAGCTAACGCACCTTGTAGGCCTTCTCAGGGTCTTCATCTAGTACAGGCTGTAACAGCCGTGTGCACAAGGACTTGATCTCTGGAATGTTGGCGACGCACGATGCCGAAACTGGGGTTAGGCGTTGAGTGAACCTGTGATCCACTTATGAGAAAGGCTGCGGGGAAAATTCGAAGATTCTTACCGAGTCCTTGATACACCGGTCTCCATTACGTTCTCGACGTGCTTGAGAACAAGCTGAACAGGGTCCACGGGTGATTTACACGATATAAATACCACTGTTACTTTGATTGAGTTCTAGTCATATTGTATGAATGGCTGGATCGCACCGACCGCAAGGAGTATTGGTATCGCAATTGACTGAGGAAAGACATCAGAACGCGTTGGGAAAAGGTGACGAAGGACATACCGAACCTTTGCTCTTTCCGTGGTCGTTTCATCGACGCAACCTCTTTGGCTATTTGAGCCTCAATGTTCTCATCGTCGTCTGTATCTTCCTCGTTGTCGTCATCTCCTTCATCTTTCGACTTGTCAGAGTCCTGTTGAGGCCACATTTCGCTCGCAAGCTAGAAAGAGCAGTTAGCTGGGAGAACCATTCGCGGAACCACTGTCTGAACTCACAGAATCAAACAGATCGTACAGCTCTCCAACGGTAGACTTCTCTTTGTTTCTGACACACGTCACCCAGATCCCTGGACCATCCATTGATTTCTGACCCCAAACCGGCGTACCATCCTGGTACGCAAAGTAAAATCAATCAGTCGACGTGTGCAGGAGAATGAGAAGTGTTTGCGTACCGGGCGATAGCGTCTGCGCGATCTGTCCTTTCCATCGTTCTTCCTCTTCTCGCCTTGCTGGGGTTGGGACATGATGCAAAGGGGGGATCGAGCAGAGAGGAAGTGAAAAGGTCGTCCGCTGGGTGGTCGTCGTGGTCAGACTCAGATGCAAATTGCCAATTGAACCATGAGCGGCCCGATTGAACGCGAGATTGCCTCAGATCGATTATCGGAAACATCCGCTCGTCCGAGTTTGGCAACTCTCTGCTGTTGACCACGACATCGCATAACGAACATTGAACAAGATGACCCTTTCAAGCAGAAGGAGCTGGGATTTCAAACATGGGCTGAGTATTCTGACGTCTTTTGTTGCAATTCTAGGTCTCTCTCGACGCGAATGAAGGCAGCGGGTCAAGTTGGCCACCGCGCAAGCTCGGAAGCCCTGCCCAAACTCAAGGTTAACGATAACTCCATGCGATAGCGGTCAAACCGAGCTTTGAGGAGGCTAAGGGTGAAAAAGTGGGATAGCAAGTGAATGATATACATTGTACATGAGTTAAGTTGGCTTCTCGCGACTCCCACATCCCTGGTCCCACCGGCTCTCAGAGTTTCCCCATCAACCACTAGTAAATCCCTTCCAAACTCCCAAGTCGTCATAGCCAGCTAGATCTCCGAGGTTTGAGGCGAAGGGTTGTGCGAAAGCGTGATAGCTGCGCTGTCACCGGTGAGCAAGGATGGACTCGGATGATGCAGAGACAGTACTATACTCACACGCTCAGGCCTTGAAAGGGCAAGTGGGTGCGTGCTCACCTCTCCATCCGCAGTGGCAGCACTGGGGACCAGACTTGGCGGTAGAGGTGACGTCGACGGAGACATGAGCGTGGCCGTCCTTGTTGCACATGATCGGGGTGGTAGAGGTAAGAGCGGTGATCCGGAAGGGCGCGAGGATGACAGAGATGATGGCCATGTTTGTAGCGGCAGCGGGCATTATGATAGTGGTCGTGATGGTGGTCGTGAAAGAGAGTTTGCTGAGTGTGATCAGGGGATGAAATGCGCAGGTGGTAGATGAAGCAAGGGGAGTGCGAGCTGAAGAGCTGGATGGATTCGAAGCGTCTGGCTTTATACCTTTCCAAGGCTTAAGCGACACATTGTTGAATCTCATTCAACAAAGAGTCACGTTGTACATCCTGGCCATCTGTCTCCCTGAGTTTGCGCGCGGCGGAATCCCGGAAGAGTCAAGCCGAGAGCGCAGGGTCTCGCCTACCGCAGAAAGTGAGAAGAGATCTCACTTGGCGGTTAGTGACTTAGATGGCCATCCTTCCTCTCGTTTGCGTGATCATCCAGCTGTCCAGTCCCGTTTCCATTGTCTTTTGCCCATCCATTATCTCTCAGCACGCGTAGATAGCATGTCAGTAGCTTCGATATTCCGCAGTCACCACCAGCGGAGTCACGTTGGCTGATATTCCATTGCTTCCTGGGTAATCAGTAGATACTAGAGCACGAGCAGGGGCTGACGTCAACTGCGATGGCAGTAAATCCCGAGCGGGTCCCAGCAAGATAGAAATCATACAGAGCCTCGTGGTCACCTCTACCTATGTCCATCGCTACGACCACCCGTTTTGCGCCAGGTCAATTTGGAGGCCGAGCAGAAAGTACTTACCTACAAAAATTTTCGACCGAAGGCAAGTTCTCTCGCGTAAACAACGACTGAGACAAAAGACATCTGAGAGTCTGGGCCGAACGCTTCAGCGTGCGTTCACAGACACTTATGCCTCCATGACCCAGAGGGTTGGTCAAGGTTGGTCATCGACGATGGCGAAGATGAAGTGCTGAACGTGTCGCACGCTCGGCCGCTTCGGCATATCCCGGATCGATCGTTGTGGCGTTCGGTGCGCAGCCGTAAAAGGTAATACGCTGTAAAAGAAGGAATATCGGCAGGCCTACATACCTGCACAGTACGCTGCAAAACAGGACAATGACCGTGATGATTGGTATTGTTGTGAGCGGGCGAGCAGGCCACGGAGTTGTTGTTCAGCCACACGTGGGCTGTGTGGGTTCTTCCGCGTTCCGTCGAAGCCCTTAATATTACGTACTGCGACAAGTCCTCTGAAAAGCTTTAGTATGATACCCAGTGGTCACTTCAAGAACGTTACTAGCACAGTATGCAGACTGTAGAGAATGAATCCCACTGTAAGATTACATCGAACTTCGGAGGTCCAGTCGTTTTTGTTCCGTCGAGGCAAATTTTTGAGCGCTTCCTGAAAAATTTCGATCTTCCCGTGCTGGACCGCGCCTTAGGCTGCCGCCCCATGTTATCCTCCATCATTTGGATCAAAAACAACGGGCCTGGCCGGGAATTGAACCCGGGACCTCCTCCAACTGTTGGCATGCCACCCTAAGAAGGAATCATACTACTAGACCACCAGGCCGCTGAAGTTCACCGCCATACGGCCTGCCGAGAGCTAAAGCTGGGCTGTGAAAGACGCGGATGACTTCCCAATATCGTGCAACTCAGGTAAAAGGAAGTCGCCAACATTGAAAATGGCCTTGAGGTGGCTGAGCTTCGAATCCCGTCGAGACGTCGTTGTGATTTGCAGCAGAGTTGCGTCAAACGCTCACAGATCGGAACAGAGTGGCGAGCGCCACATGCAGCCAGGTTGCCTTCGCTTCTGCATCTCTAACGACAAGTTGGACCTGCTGTCTACCTACGTTCTCCCTCGAGTTGCTGTTTCCAACTTCGTGCACCTGGTTTCCGAATCTGCAGCGCTTTCTACAGCGCGTGTCCCAGAAACCTCCATCCTCTGTCCCCGTCGAGATCGTCGCAGATCAACAACGACACGACTCGGAGGGCCGCTCCCAAATGACAGGTTCAAGTCCTCCTTCTAGTCTTTGCGTAGCCTGTTACTGAAGTTCATTATTCTTAGATAAGCGAATCACAGTCTTTTTCGGGATTATCTGCGTTAACGCGTTGTCCTGGTATCAGCTTCTGTCGCCTCCTTTCATGCCGTGGCGGTTCTAGTCAAAGGCTGCAAGTGTCCAATTACGTTGGCCGGCGCCATCTCATCCTTGGAATTTCAGCCTCAGCACACGTGTATGTTTCCCAGATATATCTTCGAGCGACTCGCGATGGCCACTCCTCAGTCTCCTCCCCGTATTCTGCGTTTGACGAGGCACCATGGTGAAACAGCCACCTCTTCCGTCTCTCGCCCGTCCTGGGCTATTCAAAGCTGGTGATCCTGCCATTCAGGTCCACCGTTGCTCCAGTCCCAACACCGACCTCCAGACCTTGGACGCATCTGCAGCTTTGGCTGCGAAGTGTGGCGCGGTCGGTATCGCTCCTGCCTTCTCCTCGAAAGGAGTACTCAAGGACCTCGCAATTGCCTGTCAAGACCAGGTCCTGATGATTACTATGGACAACTATAATGGCTCCCTCAAAAAGACGAAAAATAAGAACAAGGCTCGCGAGGCGCTACGTGAGAGGATTCTCAAGAACAGCGACCTCGTGAAGGTATGCTTTGACGTGGACAGGATATCCCTTAGTCTCTACTTCGACCATCATCATCATATTTCCTCCGCTGTCGATTTTCAGTATCTGCGAGACTATCGTGAAAATCTACACCACCGCTCAGATCAGGCCGTCCTCGACAATTTCGAGGGCTTGAGTGGCGACAAAGGATTGCTGCATAGAGACAACATTCTACACGTTGTTCGCAGTGGCAGAAACGATACATTGGAACAGGAGAGGTTATCTTTGAAAGCGTACTTGGCATGGAAGATTTCTACCCTACCCGAGTTCTCCCGTCAGCTCCCCGAATATAAGACAATCTGCACTGTCGGGATGCCCATCGCCGTGAGTCATAATGTCTATTCTGTCAGGTGCAAGTGCTGACCAGAACTCATTCATTTAGGACCTTCTTGTGCTGAGCAAATGCCTTCGTGATTATGATTGCCTCCGATCGCTGCAGCCATCTAAGGTCAAGAACGACGTAGGGCCGAAGTTCACCGTTGGAAAGGATGGAAATATCAACGTAGACCTCGATAGGTATACTTCGCGAGTTCGTCGGAGCCAGGTCGCTCCGCAGGTGCGTCCGATCGAGTCTTCTGCATATATCATGTTTTGAAACTGTACGCAGAGAATTCTTATTCAAACAACATCTCACAAACAACCCGTTATTGGTCGTGCGGTCGCCGTCAAGGGCAAAACGGCCACTGTGAAGGTGAACGGCCGCATTCGGGGTGAGATCCGCTCCGTGCACACGGTCGGCAAGGACTATACCAACGCTGAATTGGAGCGCGTTGGTATTATTCTTGCCGCCTTGCACGGAACGTCCTCCATCCTTAAACAACCTCTGGCTCGTAGCATCTTCTCTACAGGACCGTCACTCGTTTCGAGTGATTCCCGTGCTTCAACCCAGCGTCCATCGCCCAGTATTCACTCGAGCCGGCCATTGAACACGTCTCAGACCCAAGCCGTGCGGCGGATTCTGTCGTCTTCACCGAAAGACCGCATCTGCCTCGTTCAAGGACCTCCGGGGACGGGCAAAACCACCGTCATTGCAGCGACTGTGACGAGCCTCATCAGTAATCCCGACTACTCCGAGAAGCGTTCCATCTGGATCTTCGCCCAATCTAACGTGGCTGTGAAGAACGTTGCGGAGAAGCTCGCGGATGTTGGCTTTTTTGACTTCAAAGTGCTCGTCTCCCAGGAGTTCCATTTCCAATGGTACCCGTTCACACATTCACCGTGTACTGCCTCGCTGAATTGGAATTCTAGGCACGAGCACTTGTATCGCAAAATCGAGGACAACGTGATCAAATCCAGTGTTTTTACCAAGAAGGGTCTCGAAATGCACCGACTCATCCTCGATTGCCGGGTCATCCTCTGTACCCTGAGTATGCTGTGCCACCCCGAGCTTATCAAGACAAAGATCACCAAACTCGTCCCTCTTGAAATAGTCATGGTGGACGAAGCATCGCAGATAGAGATGGGTGATCTTCTCCCGTTGTTGCACAAGTTCGGTGATGGTATCCAGAAGCTTGCGTTCATCGGTGACAACAAGCAACGTAAGCCGCCAGAACTATGACTCTAGGAATCGTGATGATTTACATCGTTCTTAGTTGCTCCATATGGCTCGGAAGACATCAAGGACCTTTGCAGTATTTTCGAGGTGAAGCACCTTTCCCAAAAGGCTGTCTTTCTGAACACACAGTGTAAGTACCGCGTCATCAAGCTCGTTGCTCCAACTGATGTTATCGCAGATCGTATGCCAGAGCCTATCGGAGATTTCATCTCCCGCAAAGTTTACGGCGGGCGACTGAGCACCCAGCATGACATCAAGAACAGGAACTGTCTCAAGTTCATTGACGTTGGGGGACAAGAAGCCAGCGAGGGCACGTCATTTCAGGTACGAACTCCTTATCACCTGCGACACACTTGTTCACATCAGCGCAAACTGTCAGAATACGAAAGAGGTCGATGCAGTCATTCACGTTGTTCGTAAATTCGTGAAGGAGGAGAAATCATTTCGCGTCATCACTCCTTACGATGCGCAGCGTGCTCTCCTGGAGAAATCACTTCGCTCCCAAGGCCTCCCTTGGCAGGATAAGTGTTTCTGCGTAGATTCATTCCAAGGTATGTACACATGCTCCGCTTATCGTGGTGTACCGTCTCAAACTCAAATGCACATTCTCATTCAGGCAACGAAGACGATCATATCATCATCTCTGTGGTCCGCACTGCGAAAACCGGGTTCTTGAGGAACATCCGACGATCAAATGTCATGCTGAGTCGCTGCAGGAAGAGTATGACGATCTGTACGAAACGATCATACTTGTCGTCCAGCCAGACCAAGGATACTCTTCTCGGCGAGCTGGCAGCAGAATTCGGACCTAGTGCTTGGATGAGCTGGGGCGATTTGTTGAACGAGAGGTGGCAGTGAAGAACGCGCCGGGAACTTGTATGCACATCTTCTCGATGTAGGCTAGGGTTACGGCGATGACAAATGCGTTATTAGTATTAAGCAAAGACTGTGGAGAGAATATCATCGTCTCATCGGGCTCCCAAGGAATGAGTCAAACGAATCGCACGTTGAACGTTGAACGTTGACCTAAGTACGTCCGAGTCGAGTCCAGTCGAGTTGACCGCAAGGTTCCGACAGACGCCTCGGATGGATTTAAGCGGTGTGGCGGCGCTCGGGCGCCAGGCCAGGCCTTGAAGTTCTCTTCGACGACGTTGGTGCGACGTTGTGTCCGCTGGCAGGTCTCCTGGCGGGTTCGTACGGCTTCGCTTTGCAATCCACGAGGGACGCGTCATCTCATTCCACCTCGAACGACGACGAATCCGAAGCACGTCGCGTCGCCAGTCACGAAAGTCCTCAAGCTCTCCATCGCGTCAGTCGAGACAAGGTCTATTGTTCTTGCATCCATATGGCATTGAGCTTCCTGTTCAGGACTATGCGCGTGTAGGTAGATTCTTTGTACTGATGCTTGCATCTGCCAGGTCGTTTGGAGGCGTGTCCGAGTCGGTTCTCTCCAAAGGCTGCATCTGTCAAGTTACGTTGGGTGAGCGCCATCTCATCCTTGGGTTTTAAGTTCAACTCACGTGTTTCTCCCCTTATGAGCCCCTTGGAAGCTTTGCCCTGACCACTCTCTCCTTCGCTCTTCCAGTATCGACGCGTAGGGTCGTACCATGACAACACCCCCACTCTTCCCGTCTCTCGCTAATCCGGCCTTGTTCAAGGCTGGTGACCCTCCCCTATGCATACATCACTGCAACACGCCACACACCGACGTCCAGAAACTGAGCACGTTCCTACTCTTGGCTAATGATTGTGGCGCTATTGGAGTTGCGGCCGCCTTCTCAAGTAAAGGTGTAATCAAGACACTTGCGCTTGCCTGCCAAGATCAAATCCTCTTGATCTCCATGGACGCGTACCATGGTACTGCTGGAAAGAAGAAGAAGATTCAAGCACCTAAAATGCTGCAAGCCGATCTGCTCAAGAACACCGGGCTAGTCAAACTGGGCTTTGACATGGAGAGGATTGCCCTTGCGCTGTACTTCGACCACCGTTATCACATCTCTATGGCTGTCGACGCACAGTCATTGCGCTACCATCCTGAAGACTGGAAGCGCTATACGGACCAAGCATATCTCGAGGTCTTGGGCGGCGAGAGGTTGTTGCACAAAGAGAACGTTCTGCGCGTTGTACGTAGTGAAGGAACCGACGACAACGACCAAGAGACCTTGTCCCTCCGAGCCTATCTTGCGTGGAAGATTTCAACACTGCCACAGTACTCTCGGCAGCGCTCCACGTTCAAATCCATCTGCACCCAGAGAGACGCGTCGGTAAGCTGATAATACATTCTCTGCATCTGGTTTCTCGCTGACGGTGTATCTGCAGGACCTTCTCGTGCTGGGCAAGTCCGCTCG